CCTCTGTTTGAGAGACCATGTCAAAGTCTGAAACGGAATAGAACCCCTTTGCCTACCTAGATTTTTAGGATGCTTCAGAGGTGTCAGGCTTTGCAAAAATTCACCTGTGAACTGTCCTAAGCTGTCAGTTCAGAGAAGTAAACTGGCTGCAAGGTCAATCCAGTGCCCTGTGTCTTCCACAGCTACTGAATTAGAGAGAAGCAACTATTCATCAGCACAAACTATATTCCAACCCCAGGTGTCTTTCTATTATCACTAGTTTGAAATAGGTAGCATCAGTTGGTCTGCTTCCGAAATTCTTATTTCTTTGAAGATGAAAAGAAAAACATTCCAGAGACCAAGTTGGAACTATTTTAAGGAAGTGTGAAACTGTCAAGTGCCTCAGACCTATCTTGGGTTCCTAGCTTATCTTTCTTCAAAATCACCTTAGGGGATAAACTTGGTGCTACTTTCAAGTCAAGTCAAATGTTTATCAGCAGTAAATTAATGGTGTGGGAATGGTGGGAAGAGAAGGAAAAACCGTCACTCGTCTTTCTCAAAGTCTGATCATATTATTTTAACATTATCCTGACAGCCTTTCACAGGTCTCCCTTATCACACTTCAATATCTACCACTATCTGTAACCCGTTGACTTTCACATACATTCAATGGCCATTTACTTCCTATTTTTTGAAACCTTCACCAAGCTACAGTCCTAGATTTCTGGTCCTTCCTACAACATGGACTCTGTTCTCCTAACACCAAATGGCATGCCTAAACCAACTCAAGGTCAGGGTCTACCTCCACCTCAAGTGCAGAGAAGAAAACACCCATGGAATGCTGCCGACCACAGATGGAGTCCTTCAAGAAAAAACATAAACTAAGGCTAACACTCCATCATTCAATCCTTGACACTTGTGGACCGAGAAATTTTGAGCCAGAAATGTTATCCAAACCTCAGACTTAGTGATACCACTGAGTTCTTATCAGTGGGATACAGTTTCCAGTTGCTTTTATTCAGTGGTGATGACGAATTTGTACTGCCGCAGCCACACTTCTGTCATTTGAGTAACCAGAGAAACAAGTTAACACAGCAAAATAAACTGGCCTGTGAGGGAATCCCATTGGTGGTTTTGGTCTTTGGATTGGGTTGGTGGGTTCAGCTCCCCCAACCAAGCCAGTAGCTGAACACTAACAGACATTCTTGGACTGTCTACTGTTAGAGGCAGTTGAGTCAGCTCCATCCCATTCTTCCTTGGCCCCTTTCTTATTTTCCAGACTTTTTTCACTTCCCCTCCTTCCATTCGCCTGTGTCTCTTAGCACATTTGCAGCCCAGATACTGCTCCAGACAGACTCAAAGTTATCATTAGAAAAATCAGTGGAGATGCTAAACAGCCAGTGTTTTGAAGAAAATACTAGAAACTGCTTTCTGAAAGCAGAAAGCAGTTGATGGTAGACAGGGTACTTACTGAAATCTCCTGTGGGCATCCACAAGGCCAAATCTAAGGGAGTATTTCCAATCCTCTCACAAAACAGACACACTCCAAGGTCAAGAGACACCACAATGCCTGAGCAATGTGCTTGATTATATTTTCTCAGTAACAATTTATTCCTTTCCAAGAATGGTGGAGCAGAAAAAGTATCGAGTTTCTGGCTCGTGTTTCTAGAATATCGCACTTGAACATTCATACGTTAAAATTGTGAAAGTCTGTAAAATATATTATCAATTTCAGATGGCTCATATTTAGGTTATATTGGTCATAGATTATTTTTGCAATCTGTGTCTATTCCTTCTCAATTCCCTTCTAACCAATGCCCTTCTAACCCCACCCTAAGACACTTTATATGGCTCTGAGACTGAACATATGTGATAATTTTTTAAATTATATTTGATTTTGACTTTGACACTATTTTTTCTTGATCAGGCAGCATGTTGTATGGAAAAGAATCCTGCCAGGGATACCAAATACAAAGGTTTTAGTGTAACTACCACTACTAGATGTAAAACCTTAGGTCAATCACAAAGGGCCTCAATTTTTTCAAGTGTAAGGTGAGGACTTAGACTGGACTATTTCTAAGTGTCTTCCCTTCATCTTTAAAATCCTTGATCATAACTTCACTATTTGTCATTAAAACTACTTTGGCTTATGGGAACTTTCTCACAGCCTTTCCAAAGTGCAATGAGTACCACACCACAAAGGAACCTTCAACATTACCCATAAACACAAATTCAGATTGGTTGAACACCATATACATTTAATTTATTTGTAAATTTTAGACCCTGATATATTATTTTTAACTGGGATAACAATTCTCTAATGTAAACGTGAATATGAAACATTCAAAACACTTAGGTACAGCAATGTCACAGACTGCATCTTTACTATTATGCAGTGATTGTCAAGAACAGTCTTTCTGTTGCAGAGAATCTCTGGATCCATACTTACATCCCTTAACTATGACAGACTCCACATATACTTGGCAGCTTCTGCATTGCCTTGGCTGAGCCAAGAGTGTCTTGGGAAGAAAAGAACCACATGGAGTGTAGACAAGTTTTCCTCCAACTTTGCTCCTAATAATTGACAAAGAGATTGAGTGAGGTTATCATTATTTTAATCTCTAAATCTTTGTTCTTAATGAAACCTGTTTCTTATCCTTCTCCTAATATACTTACTCATTTATTTCCTCATTCTTCTTGTAATATCACAAAAATTTTGTGATAATTATAAGCTAGTTACTTATAGAAGACCATATAAGGTTCAGTATTTGGAAACATCAGATGTCTAGTTGGTAATTAGGGCTTAATCATAAGTATAAACAAATATTTAATTAACATAAATGAAGAAATAGCTCAGGAGCATCACAGCAGAAATGTTTTTCCTTTCAACCAACGGACACTGTAATAATGAGAGGAAAAGTTTTGGATAATCAGCAGTTATAACACTGAAAAATGTTACAACATACTTGTGCTGCATGGTCATTTTTAATAGCTCCACTTTGATTTTTGCCTCTCTATACAATTGGGAGCGAACAAAAGTATGAGTGTAAGTGCGTGTGTATGTTTCTCAGCAGGGCCTCTACTGAGGTAGAATTATTAAACTCAGTGTCAGTGCCAGAGGAAGAAGCCAATATAATTAAACAGCCTGGTGTTCTTAAGGGGGCCCAGGGCCTGACTATGTTGCCAGCAACGAAAATCCCATATAAGGTCTTGAGCCGATCAGCCCTTGCAGAGGCCTCAAACTATTCTTGGCGAGCCCTGGCTAGACTATGTCAGGAACATTTGAATAGCATGATTGAATTATGGGGAAAGAAATACAATTCCAGATTCTGGTGTGACCTACCACCAGCACTAGGTCTTAAGCATTCACGAGTCCACCAGTGTTGCTCCCAGTACTTCTTTCCCATGTTCTCTAGGGGCCTTAGATAATTTACACAGATTAAAAATGCAGGGAAAACAACTTCTCCCACTCTGTGACCTCAGACTGGTTTCCTGGTGCCGCTGTTCTCTATTTTCACAATCTTGAGTCCATTCGCAAGGCTGTAGCCTTAATTCAGGCCGCTGGTCAGCACTCAGGTGGATCATTGCAGTTCCTCATTACTTGAGATCTGGAATCTTTCCCTTCTAATCTACTAATCTGAGTAAAAATCCCATTTTGTATTCTTTCACTGCTATCACCCTCAGGAAAGAATCCAAACTCCTTGCTGTTACATCCAAGGCCCTTCAGGAATTGAACTGTGCTTCCACCAGGATCATTTCTGAAAAGTCCCCCACATGAGGAACCCCTTGCTGCAGCCAAATTAAATGACCTGCAGCAACTCCTTGGATTTGGCTTGCATGGTCCTGCCTTTGTTCAAGCTGCTTCTCCTGCCTGGGGCACCCTTCCTCTTCAACATTTACCTTCATGGAGAACTTCTATGCATCCTTCAAGACTTGGCTCAAGGTTCTCTAAAACTAAAATTGTAACAAAATACATTGGTATGTTGTCAGCTCCTTGAAAGTAGGGACCACATAATATTCATGCTTATTCCTACCTTAATATTTACTCTCCTATTATTCTTCCTGGGCTTCTTTCTATTATTTGGCCATGCCATGTCTCAGTCCAAATGTCACCTCTGCAGAGAGGCAGTGTCTGCAGCCCCGATCTAAAGTAGCACCACCTCATTAACCCAATCATTCTCTTATCACTCTGTTTCATTTCCACTGAAGCATCTGTCATGATTAGAAATGATCTTGTTTATCTCCATGTTAAATTGTTGCCCTCCCCATTCTCCCACCCCTCACTAGAACATATTCCCCTGCCCAGGATACAGGACATTGTCTACTTATTCACTGATGTAGCTCTAGTGTCTACAACAGTGCCTGGCACATAGTAGTATCAATAAATCTCTTTGGAATAAGCATATTATATGTAGAGTTTGCATCTGAAGGAATACTTACATAGAGGAGTATTTTATGAGGTATTTTCCCAGTGAGTCTAAATAAAAAGGCAGTCATCCAAATCTACCTCTCTCTTGTTTCCACCTCTCTAGCAACTATGCCCTGGGTCACTATTTGAATGTTGTTACCTTTTCCCTTTTATAGCTTTTCTTTGCAGGTTAAGCATCAGTTAAGGCCTTGTCAAGGCCTTTTAGAGCACAGCCACTGGAGCCACACTTGTTCAAATCCAAGCCCTGGCCAAGCATGGCTTTGGCCCAGCCAAACTGGATGACCTGCAGCAACTTCTTGGATTTGGCTTGCATGCTTCTGCCTTTGTTCAAGCTGCTTATCTGTGCTTCAGTTTCCACATTTATAAAATGATTCCTGCTTCATAAAATTATTGGGATGATTACAAGAATTTGTACAAAACACTCAGAACAGTGCCAGTCATAGTAAATGCAGTATATATGTTAGTCAAACAATACTGTTTTCTGTCATGTAGGGGCAGGACACAATTGACAAATCCAAAATACAGAAGCATCTGTGCAAATGGAATGTGGTATGGAAAGTATGTGTGACAGAGAAGTGAGAGCAGCTGGGCATTTGCTTCCAGGAATTCAAAACAATTTATTAATTTTACACTTAGATATTGGTAATGCACACAGAGAGAGGAAATCTGAAAGTTATTTAGAGCACCTCCTTGATTTTGTATTGAATGCTATAAATTTTATTTTAAAATAGCTCAAAACTCATCTTGCATTTTAATATTTTAAAATAAAATCTACAATATCAAAATCTTGAGCATTTAAAAAATTGTAAAAACCATGATTCAAGTCAACAATTCTGTGCTTTGAGATTTGATTGCTAAACAGGATTTCACTTGTCTATGAAGAATTTACTCTGTTCCTTTCTGGCTTTTTCAATGCTTTCAAAAGTGATCATTCCTCTTGGCAGCTGCAATTTACTCTTTTCTGTTTCCAGTATGTCCTCAGCTTCACCTTAAATAAAGTACAGAAATACACAAGGTGACAAAGGGGTCATGAGCAATTTGTGACAAAGCCTGATTGCTATATTCCTTGACAGGCTCTAATAGCGTATGAGCCATGTTCCCAATTTCACACTTAAACATTTTCCTCAGGAGAAGTAATACACTTCCCAGAGGAAACACAGTGATGAATTCTGACAACTCATACATAAATCAGGAGGTACAGACTTTTTTGACATGTAGAAGAGAAAGAACATCAAGATAAGTAATTTTTTCCCTTGAAACAAAGTCAGGATTAGTATTAATTCTGTTTGGAGGGATTTGGGTAGAGAAACCACATATATAGTCTTTCCCATTGTCCTTTAATATAAGTGACAAGAGAGAAAGTAAAGTTTACTACAAATTCTAATTTTTCAGAAAAGCTAATCTTCAACCTGACATTACTTATAAACACTCAAAATAATATTAAATGTTCTTTAGTCTGTATACATACAAATATACATATACACACATCTTTATAAACAATTCCCCTTTCAAAGAGCTACACAATGCAGTAATTTCTTGGGCCCAGTGACATTTGCCAGGTTTTATTGTTGAAGACTACTTAGCACATTTTTAAAAATTGTATTACAGTACATGTTGACATTTCATAAGCCTCCCTTGGGATTAAAAGGTGACACTTTCTGTGAGTACTCCTCTTTTAACACACTATTTTATTTTATTGAGACAGAGTCCAACTCTGTCACCCAAGCTGGAGTGCAGTGGTGCAGTCTCAGGTCACTGCAGCCTCTGCCTCCTCAGTTCAAGCGATTCTTGTGCCTCAGCCTCCTGAGTAGCTAGGACTACAGGCGGTATACACCGACTAATTTTGTACTTTTCATAGAGACAGGATTTCACCATGTTGGACAGGCTAGTCTCGAACTCAAGTGATTTGCCCGCCTTGGCCTCCCAAAGTGCTGGGATTACAGGTGTGAGCCACTGCACCTGGCCTTCTTTTAACACGCTATTAATTGTACTCCAAACCCAACAGAACAGACCATAGTTTTCAAATTATAAGAGCATTTCAATCATCTGCAAATATCTTCTTTTTTTACCTCTGTCTCAAATAGCAAGTAAAAATCATGATAAAATTACATATAACTAGGTTGGCCATTGATGACAGACTAGATGTTTTCCATGTGAGAGAGCCTTTCTTCCAGTTAGTAAATTCTCATCATGTATTTACAGAATGGCTGATAATAAACTCAGTCGAATAGGGATTGTATATTTTAGAGTCATCATTATTAACATGGAAAAAAAACTATAATCTACATTTTCTAATGTGATAAGTTTTCTGATGAATTCGAATTTTTTTTAAACAGGAAATTCCCACAAAAATTTCCTATTAAATTTCTGTGCCAGCTGTGTCAAATTCCAGGGCAATAAAAATCAGGATTATGTGACAGCAGCAGTGTGCAGGTGAATATTTACCAACCAGTTCTCTGAAAATAAAATGTCTATAAATTTATAATATATATGCTTATTATACATGTTATACATGTTCATTACACATAAAAATATGTACCATAATAAAATGTACATAAAATTCCACATAGCAAATTGATTCTCACAGAATGCTTTCATTGATTTTTATGGAATGCTGGAATCCGTGGCCAGCCTATGTTGCAATTGATGAGAGAGTATAATGGATGACGGTTGGTGTTTTCATTCACACTAATGAGTAGGACAAAAGTGAAACAATGAGTTGTTTTATTGAAGACAAATGTTGGAACTTCATTTATTTGAGAATGATGTAAACAACTTATTTGCTGAACTGGATAATAGTTTTTCAATATTAGAAGAATATTTCACCAACTTTTATGCTATTTACAATGGAATAGTTACAGACAAAGCACATTTTTAAGCTTAATCTGCATTTTTAGCATTTTCTTCATCAATTTTTAAAATCTAGACCATAGGTTGGCAAACTGTCTTAAAGGGCCAGACAGTAAATATTATAGGCTTGTGGGCTCATATGTTTCTGTTTCAACGATGGCTCTGTCATGGTAATGGGAAGGCAGCCACAGACAATACATGAATGAATGAGCATGGATGTGTTCCAATAAAACTTTATTTTTGAAAACAGGTGGCCAGCCTCAGGCCATAATTTTTCAACTCCTGGTCTAGAAAATCAATAAAATAAGCAGTCAAGCTTTGATTTGGCAACCACAGATTTCCATTGTGTAAATACTCCCATCAAGACCAACTTCAGACTATCAATGGGGTGTCACTAAAACTGGACAGTAGCTGTATTTTGTTTTGTCTGTGTATTATATCTGCATTTCTATCATATAGATACAATAGCTATAAATAATCAGAGTATGGATAATAGCAAATATTTGGAAACAGATGAGTTCTGTTTATTACCTTTGTTTTAAACACAATTTAATATTATTTATTTGCTGTAATTTATTTATTGCAAGTTTATATAAGTTTTAATACCTTAAATGACTATGTTTAACAACTGGCTTACACAATCCCTGAAAATGTAGTGATTGGTTCTTGTGAGCTGGTATGAGGTGGCTCCAGCACACCACTGTGTGAGAGGGAGCAGAAATGTTGGTCATTGGAGGTTCAAAGAGAGAGTCTTGTCAGAATTTTTATAAGTCAAAAGTTCCTAAGGCAGGGATCCTTGAACTGGAAAATAAATCAGCAAATAGAAACTCTAGTTTATCAAAGACTTACCTTTCATTCTTTCTAAAAGGGTTCCATAGCCCAAGTCATACTGGTAGGTGAGGATAAAGCTTAATGGAACAATTGGGACCAGGAAGGCTGGCTTCTTTTTTTTAATCGCTCTATTTCAAGAATTAAAAAAAGAACCAATATCAAAAAATAATCTGTAAATACATATCTGTATACTTAAAGAAAAAAAATACCTGCTTTTTGGAAGAATGACTTTTCCTTCAGAAGTTACTTAATACATTTGATAATTCTATGGAAATAGGATTTCCTTACCCAGTATCCCTAACCAGATTCTGCAGTTCTCAAGGGCAAGGTCTGTGACTTGTTCATCTTTATTTGACTTTGAAGCTCAGGTTCCTTGTTTTTAAAATGGGTAAGGATTGGTATCTACCACTAAGGGATTGTGGAGATAAACATATAGAGGCCTTCTTGGTGTCAAGTTGGTGATCTCTCTCTCTAACTAATAAAGTAGAGAAAAAGACAGAAGCAACCTAGGAAACTAAATTAACTGTTACTGCCTTGCTTTCACAGAGTTACCCCCAAGGACTAAGGTTAATAGGTTACTTTGCTTACATACACTATTTGGACCAAAGTCTTATTCTGGCCAACTTCATAATAAAATGGTAATGAAAAAGACAAAAAGAAGTAAATGACTGAAGAAAATATTAAATAGCAAACATACCCAGCTGTTAAAGAGATGGCTGCAAAGCCAAAAAAAGTTCCAAAATATTTGAGGAATTCCCGAGACCACGCGATCTGCATAGCCATTTGTCTTTCCCTCATTTCACTCTGCATGATGAGCTGCCTTTCCAGCTGAGGACAAAACAAAAGACAAAGTAAAGTTACTCATCTTTGGAATCTGAACAAATAGTAATCTGTTTTTCCAGCGGATTCATTCTTCAATTGCTTTAATTCATGTTTTTTCAAAAAAATCTCAACAGACTTTGACTAAAGTTCCTTTGGACAGCTCTCACCAACTGTCACCTTGGCAGTGAAATCTTCCTGGAATAAATACAGAATAAATATCAATATTACATTTTTACACCCTGAGGTCTTGACTGCCTGTGGTCTGGAGCTTTAGCCAAGCCTCAAATAAATGTCCAGCTTTTCCTATTGCATGTGTGGAAAGATCTATGGGTCTTTAAATGTAGATACATCTTACTGGCCTTTATTTCCACTTGCATGGAAATCTGCCTTCCAAATCCACTCCAAACTGAAATTTATTTGGAGTATTTATTTGGTCCATATCACACCACAATATGATAGTAGATGGTTGTTGTTGTTTTGAGACATCTTTTCCTTTGCCACATTTTTCTAACCTCAAGTTCTTCACCACTTTGTTCAGTGCCTTTCACCGCTTTGAACAGAAGGCAGATGGCTCAGAACACAGGAGACTGAATTTCTAAATGGATTTTTAGAAAATACTCAGGAGAAGCAACTGTCTGTAAACCCAAGCCCATTATTTGAAGAGAGTTATATTCTTGACAGAGAAAAGTGTTGTTGGCGTTGTTGTTGTTGTTGTTTTAATTCTAAAATCTTGGCACTACATGTCATTAGCCAAGCTAGAGGGCAGTACACAGGGAGTTCATGATGCAAGGAAGAGGAGAGGAAGGTGATTTAGTTTCCCCTCCATGCCTTCTTTCTACTGAGGGGAGTAGCTGGGAGGGGCAAATGATAGTTTAGATGTAAAGATGGGGCTTGGCTCCTTGGCCTAATTTGGGAAGTTAAATCCCCAGAAGATATGAAGGAAGCCTCAGTTGGGTTTGGGAATCCCTAAACAGAGAAGACTTGTGGCCTTGCTTCCTGTAGATAATTCTGGAAGGGAGCAGCTACAGCAAAGCAGAAATGGTTTCAGGGCAGACCTCGCAGAGAGCACACCTGAGAGAGGCCACTTCCATCTCCCTCAGCGGCCAAGGGGTGTGGAGGAAGTCTGCAAGGTTCTCACATCAGCTGAAGAGGGGCACAGAAGGTAGCTATGGATCGAGAGCAGGGGGACTACCAAAGAGTCCAAAACCTAGAGCCAGGGGACACCATAACAGACACTTTAGGAGTGAACATAAGCCAGTGGTTGGGTGGGGAAGGCCACTGGATCCCAGAGGATCAGCAGCACCCGAGAGTGCTTTTCTGCTGTTGTTTTCTGTTCGATCAACCTGGACAGCACCACATGATGTTCCCTAAGGGCATGAGGCCGTGTTCCAGGCTGGCATAACCATCATCCCCATACTCTCAGGTGCTGCTGATCCTCTGGGATCCAGTGGCCTTCCCCGCACAGCCACTGGCTTACATTCACTCCCAAGCGTCTGTTGTGGGGTCCCCGGCCCAAGGTTTTGGACTCCAGTAGGCTACCAGCTCTCAGTCTGCAGCCACCTTCTCTGCCCCTCTCCAGCTGAGGTGAGAACCTTGCAGACTTTCTTCAGACCCCTCAGCCACTAAGGGAGACGGAAGTGGCCTCTCTTAGGCATGCTCTCTGTGAGGTCTGCTCTGAAACCCTTTCTGCTCCGCAGTATCTGCTCCCTCCCAACATTCTCCACAGGAAGCAGGGCCATAATTCTCTGTCTGGGGATCCCCAAATGCATCTGGCTAGATGTGCCTTCCCTGATGCTGGTACCACCTGAGATCACCTGCACCCAAGCCTAGGTCATACCAGGGAAATGATGAACGGAGAAGGAGAGGAGGAAAGCTGAATTCAACTATTTTCTCCCAAAGAACTGAGTTTTAAACTACAAATAATTGAGTAACTTTGACTTGTCAAAATTGAATTTGCTGTCACCAAGAGAAATTGAGGTTCATTTTGAGTTCAATTAGCAATAAAAAATAGATGTGTTTTTGCACAAGATTATTTAGTGTGTGAAATTCATCCTTGCTACATTACTTATTTACAAAACTTACATGCTGATTCATCATATCCCCCAAAGTGATGTAAATGCAGCAATTAATTATTTGTGTTTTTATCAAAAGGCAGTAAACAAGAAATAGAGGAGTCCAGAGTGGTTCTAAACTTTTGCTGCACACCATGAGCATCTGGGGAGCTTTTCAAAGTTCTAGTACCCAGACCTACACCCCAGACCAACTAAACCAGGTGGGATCAATTCAGTCAGGATCTGGAGGTAAAATCAGGCATTAGTATTTTCTAAAGGTTTCCAGATAGTTCTCGTGTGCTGCCGGGACTGAGAACCATCACCATAAATGAAAGACTCATAGCTTATGCTTTTTTCCCACGAAAGATCAACGTGAGATATCAGTCTGAAAGATATCACCTGGGAACTCTCAAAAGATTGTGAGCAGAGGGCTTTCAGTGTGGTGGAGTTAATCTGTCTGGTACTATGGTGGTGGATACATGACACTCTGCATTTGTCAAAACTCATAAAACTTTACAGCACAGCATGAACCTTAGCGCATACAAATTTTACAAATCAGCCAAAAGGGCAAGGGATGCACAAGATGGAATGGGGACTGTGACAAAATAATCTGACTGTACTACAAATGTATGGCACAATCTCACTGAAGGGTTGGGGGAAAATAACTGATCTAACTTTGGAAAATGGTATTTTGACTAAAAACTGCAAAACTAAAGACAGAAAGAACTATACATAAACACTGTACTCTAGTGAGTAAAACTGTCTCTCACAAGTTACAGATTAACAATTCTGAAACCACTTTACATGTCTACTGGAGGTGAGCAACAAGTAAATTGACAGCAGATGGTGGAAGTCAGGTTTCTTATTATTAAACAGGGAGATAACAAACAAGCAAGAGGAAAAGACTAGAATGAACCATGTGGTACTGGATTAGAGCCAATAACATCAGTATGAACTCATGCTTAGTGCTTGATATAGAGATAGACAAAGATGAAATTATAGATATGCATATCTATATGCATGCATGGATTAGGCATTCATGGCTTAGTGTAAGTACATACGTTTTCTCAGCTCTGTCCACTGACAGGGAATAGAGGCAATAACCTCTTGCAAACAAGCATACCTAACACCCAGAAACACCCAGACATGATTTCTACTCTCCAAAAAAATAAATAAATAAACCAGCGCTCCTTGGAGAAATAGCTGGCCTAGGACTGGGGCAAGAAATGTATAAGAGGAGCCTACAGCATCTTATAGTGCCAGAAAGTCAAGAGATACTAAAATAATAATAATGATGATGGAGTATGTCAAAAGGACACGGGGGTCAATCTGAAAGAGCTACTAATGTCCAAAGCTGGAACAATTTTATCAGCAAAATAAATAACATAGTATTGGATTATAACCTAAAGTATAAAATAAATATCCACGAGTCTATACTAATATAAATGGAGAAGAGACAAATATCCTGTACAGAAGAATTCCAACTCATTTACATAGATACTCCTCCTCGCTCTTCAAAGAAGTGGAGCTTAACTCCCACCCCTTGATCTTGGGCTTTGCTTAGTTACTTGCTTCCAATGCGAACAGTATGAAAGGCAGGGTGAGGGATGAAGAAGCTAAAGAGACAAGAAGACTAAATGTAACGTGGCATCCTGGATGAGATTCTGGGACAGAAAGGGAACATTAGAGACAAACAAATGAAATCTCAATGTGGGATGTATTGAATAGTAATGGATCAATGTTCGCTTCTTAGTTGTGGCAAATGTGCCATGGTAATAGTCAGATGTTAACAGCAGGGCACAATGAATGTAGGGTATTTGGGAATTCTATATGCCTTTTCTATAAATCTAAAACTAGTCTCAAATTTAAGTATATTTAAAAAACTAGTTATGAACAAATATTATATTCTGAGTCTGCTCCCTTACTGTTAAGAATGAAGGCAATCATGTCCATCTTTCATAGATAAATTATAAAAATCAGCAAGATTGTGTATCTGTGATAAACCATGAGCCTAGAGTGAGAAAAAATTCCATGCAGACTCTCTCCATGAGTAAAACATTCTAATGAAAGATATTTTGATCTGTAATGTTAATTATCCATTAAAATGTTATTAACTATCTTATATTTCATAAGATTATGTTTAAAGTCATAGGTCTATATCTATATACATCTTAAAAGTCACATTAATAAACTAGACTACCAAATTTTTCAATAGCCATAAAGGGATAAATGAATTAATGCAATTATCAATTTACCAAGAATTGGCATCCTTTAACTATGTGTACATTCATTTTCAACCTTCCTTCTCAATTACTGACACTAAAAACAGCAAATAAAAGCAAAACAGAACATGTACAGCAAGTTCTCTTAATGGTTGTTAACTCAAATCCTAAATACAAAATTCTTTATCCTATTTTAAAAGAAATGTAGACCTTTTATAATAATAATTTTCTTATCTCTGGACCTTTTGATACTGCTTTACAGAATAATTTGAAATCAAAATGTTCCTGATTATAACTTCACACTCTGAGGATTTTACAGGCTTATCTGATGCTAGTTTAACAATTAGAGAACCACAATTAATTTTAAAGAGAGCACATAAGACCCTCCACAAACTAGGCATTGAAAGAACATATCTCAAAATAATAAAAGCCATCTATGACAAACCCACAGCCAACATCACTGAATGGGAAAAAGCTGGAAGCATTCCCCTTGAAAACTAGAACAAAACAAGGATGTCCACTCTCACCACTCCTATTCAATTTAGTATTGGAAGTCCTAGCCAGAGCAATCAGGCAAGAGAAAGAAATAAAAGGCATCCAAATGGAAAAAGAAGGCAAATGATCCCTCCTCATTGAATATTATTCTACACTAGGAAAACCTAAAGACTCCGCCAAAAGGCTCCTAGCCCTAATAGACCTAATAAACAACTTCAGCAAAGTTTCAAGATACAAA